GGAGGGGGCACAGGTGGTGCATCTACCGGTCATCTCGGTCAACCTCATGGCACCTGCTGGGTTTCTGTCTCGTCGATCTCCTGCAACCTAGTACCTGGCACAGGCAGGGGGCAACAGGTGGTGCATCTACCGGTCATCTCGGTCAACCTCATGGCACCTGCTGGGTTCTGTCTCGTGATCTCCTGCACCTAGCCTGGCACAGGAGGGGGCACAGGTGGTGCATCTACCGGTCATCTCGGTCAACCTCATGGCACCTGCTGGGTCTGTCCCGTGACCTCCTTCTGCACCTAGCCTGGCACAGCAGGGGGCACAGGTGGTGCATCTACCGGTCATCTCGGTCAACCTCATGGCATCTGCTGGGTCTGTCCCGTGATCTTCCTGCACCTAGTCTGGCACAGTAGGGGGCACAGGTGGTGCATCTGCCGGTCATCTCGGTCAACCTCATGTCACCTGCTGGGTCCTGTCTCGTGACCTCCTGCTGCACCTAGCCTGGCACAGTAGGGGGCACAGGTGGTGCATCTACCGGTCATCTCGGTCAACCTCATGGCACCTGCTGAGTCTGTCCCGTGACCTCCTCCTGCACCTAGCTTGGCACAGTAGGTGGCACAGGTGGTGCATCTACCGGTCATGTCGGTCAACCTCATGGCACCTGCTGGGTCTGTCCCGTTACCTCCTGCACCTAGCCTGGCACAGTAGGGGGCACAGGTGGTGAAATTTGCCACTCATCTCAGTCGGTCAACCCATGGCACCTGCTGGGTCTATCCCGTGACCTCCTGCACCTAGCCTGGCACATTAGGTGGCACAGGTGGTGCATCTACTGGTCATCTCGGTCAACCCCATGGCACCTGCTGGGTTCTGTCTCGTGACCTCCTGCACCTAGCCTGGCACAGCAGTCAACCCGTGGCACCTGCCGGGTCTGCCCTCGTGACCTCCTGTACTTAGCCTGGTACAGCAGTCAACCCGTGGCACCTGCTGGGTCTGTCACGTGACCTCCTGCCAGCTGGCATTCGAAACTTCACGTGGCCTCAACGTGCACCCAGCCTGGCACAAGCGTCGTGGTGACGTCACCGCCACTTAGTGGCGAATGGCGGTTGTTGTTGGTGGTGGTGTTGTTGACGATGATACTGATGTTGATGATGATGATCATGTTGATACTGATGATGATGTTGTTGTTGATGATGATAATGATGTTGATGGTGGTGTTGTTGGTGGTGGTGGCCGTGGTGATAATGGCGGTGGTTGATGTTGATGGAATGACGATATGTTGTTGTGTTGTTGATGCGATGTTGTTGTTGTTGATACGATGTGTTGTTGATGTTGTTGTTGATATTTTTGTGTTGTTGATGTTGTTGATGTTGTTGATGTTGATGTTATTGATGTTGATGTTGTTGATGTTGATGTTGTTGATGTTGATGTTGTTGTCGATGATGTTGTTGATGTTGTTGATGTTGATGTTGTGTTGATGTTGTTGATGTTGCTGTTGATGTTGTTGTTGGTGTTGATGTTGTTGTTGATGTTGTGTTGTTTATGCGATGTTGTTGTTGTGTTGTTGATGACAAAATGTTATTGTTGATGCGATGTGTTGTTGATGTTGTTGATGTTTTTGTGTTGTTGATGTTGTTGTTGATGTTGTTGTTGATGTTGTTGTTGTTGATGTTGTTGATGTTGTTGTTGATGTTGTTGATGTTGTTGCTGTTGTTGTTGATGTTGTTGATGTTGTTGTCGATGATGTTGTTGTTGATGTTATTGTTGATGTTGTTGTTGTCAATGATGTTGTTGTTGTTGATGTTGATGATGTTGTTGTCGATGATGTTGTTGTTGCTGTTGTTGTTGATGTTGTTGATGTTGTTCATGTTGTTGTTGATGTTGTTGATGTTGATGATTTTGTTGTCGATGATGTTGTTGATGTTGTTGTTGATGTTGTTGTTGTTGTGCTGTTGCAGAGTGCGCTGGCTAAGCGTGCTACCAAGGCTCTGTCCAGCGCCTACGGCACGAAGTATCGCTACGGGCCTGCCGCTACCACCATCTGTAAACTCACCACTCACTCACCACTCACTCACTCACTCACCACTCACTTCACGTCACCTCACCACTCACAGTCACATCACCACGCACTCATCACACTCACCACACACTCACCCTCACTCACTCACCACTCACTCACTCACCACCTCACTCACTCACTCACCACTCACTCACTCACCACTCACTCACTCACCACTCACTCATCACACTCACCACTCACAATCACCACTCACGGTCACTGCACTACACCACTCCGTCACATCACCCACTCACTCACTCACCACGTCACTCACTCACTCACCTCACTCAATCATCACCTCACACCACACACTCACCGCACACTCACTCACCCACTCCCACACACTCACTCACTCACACCACTCACTCACTTCACCACACTCACGCGCACACTCATCCCAGCAACAATCTCACTCACCGCACTCACCAACACACTCAACATCACACACTCACTCACCCACTCACCACCCACACACTCACCGCACACTCACTCACTCACCGCACACTCACAACTCACTCACCACCCACCCCCTCCCCCCACTCCACCCCCCCCCACTCCACCCCCCTCCCCCACTCCACCCCCCCTCCCCCCACCCCCCACTCCACCCCCCTCCCCCCACTCCCCCCTCCCCCACTCCACCCCCCCTCCCCCCACCCCCCACTCCACCCCCCTCCCCCCACTCCCCCCTCCCCCCACTCCACCCCCCCTCCCCCCCTTCCCCCCCTCTACCCCCCCTAACCCCCCCTCCCCCATTTCACCCCCCCTCCCTCCTCTCCCCTCCCCCCCCACCACAGACCTGGCCTCGGGCGGCTCGTTCGACTGGGCCTACGACCAGGGCATCCGCTACTCGATGACCTTTGAACTGCGCGACACGGGCCGCCACGGGTTCCTGCTGCCCGAGAGCCAGATCCGGGTCACGTGCGAGGAGACGATGCTGGCCTACGAGGTCATAGTTCAGCACGTGCTCGACCACCCGTACTGAGCGGGCCGGACGGACGGACAGTCGGTTGGCCGGTCAGCCGGTCGGTCAGACGGCCGGTCAGCTGGCTCGGCCAGTCAGCCGGTCAGTCAGACAGTCAGTCAGTCAGACAGTCAGTCAGTCAGTCAGCTAGTCAGCCGGTCAGTCAGTCAGCCAGCCAGTCAGTCAGTCAGTCAGCTAGTCAGCCAGTCAGCCAGCCATCACCCACCCATCACCCCACCCATCACCACCCATCATCACCCATCACCCCCCATCACCCACCCATCCCCCCCCCCATCAACCACCCATCACCCCCCCATCACCACCCATCACCCACCCATCACCACGCATCACCCACCCATCACCCACCCATCACACCCCCATCACCACCCATCACCCACCCATCACCACCCATCACCCCCCCATCAACCCCAACCATCACCCACCCATCACCACCCATCACCCCCCCATCACCACCCATCACCCACCCATCACCCACCCATCAACCCCAACCATCACCCACCCATCACCACCCATCACCCCACCCATCACCCCCCCCCCATCACCCACCCATCACCACCCATCAACCCCCATCAGCCATTACCCACCCATCACCCCCCCATCATCATCCATCACCACCATCACCCATCACTTCCCATCACCACCCATCACCCACTCATCAACCCCCCCATCACCCACCCATCACCACGGCAGAAGCAGCAGCTTTAGCTGCAGCAACAATGATAGCAGTAGCAGCTGTTGTTGACACGAACCACGCGTTCAGTTGTTGTTGTTGTTGTTGACACGGAACACGTGTTCAGTTGTTGTTGTTGTTGACACGGAACACGTGTTCAGTAGTTGTTGTTGTTGACACGGAACAAGTTGTCTCTCCGCTTCGTGTCGCGAAATAAACAAAATATCTCAGCAACATCAGCAGCATGAGCAGCAGCATGAGCATGACCAGCATGAGAAACACCATCATCACCATTATCACCATCATTACCATCATCACCATTATCACCATTATCACCATCAGCACCATCATCACCATCATCACCATCAGCACCATCACCATCATTACCATCATCACCATCAGCACCATCATCACCATCATCACCATCAGCACCAACACCATCATCACCATCATCATCATGATAAGCACCATCATCACCATCAGCACCATCAGCACCATCATCAGCATGAGAAGCACCATCACCACCCATCACCCCCCATCATCCACCCATCACCACCCATCACCCCCCATCACCACCATCACCACCCATCACCACCCATCACAACCATCACCACCATCACCACCCATCACCACCATCACCACCCATCACCACCCATCACAACCATCACCACCATCACCACCCATCACCACCCATCACCACCATTACCACCATCACCAACCATCACCACCATCACCAACCATCGCCACCCATCAGCACCATCACCACCATCACCACCATCACCAACCATCACCACCCATCACCCCCCATCACCAACCATCGCCACCCATCACCACCATCACCCACCCATCCCCTACCCTCCACCCATCACCCACCCAGCCCAATGGGTATCGATCATCTGGAGCTGCAGGTGGCGATATTGGCCACGTGAGGGCACCACCACCATCACCACCATCACCACCACCACCATCACAACCATCATCACTAACATCACCACCACCATCACTAACATCACCACCATCATCACTAACATCACCACCATCACCACCATCATCACTAACATCACCACCACCATCACTAACATCACCACCATCATCACCACCATCACCACCATCACCACCACCATCACCACCATCACCACCATCACCACCACCATCAGTACCATCACCACCATCACCACCATCATCACCATCATCACCATCGCCACCATCACCACAACCATCACCACCACCATCACCACCACCATCATCACCACCATCACCACCACCATCACCACCATCATCACCATCGCCACCATCACCACAACCATCACCACCACCATCACCACCACCATCATCACCACCATCACCACCATCACCACCACAACCATCACAACCATCATCACTAACATCACCACCATCATCACTAACATCACCACCATCATCACTAACATCACTACCATCACCACCATCATCACTAACATCACCACCACCATCACTAACATCACCACCATCATCACCACCATCACCACCATCACCACCACCATCACCACCATCACCACCATCACCACCACCATCAGTACCATCACCACCATCACCACCATCATCACCATCATCACCATCGCCACCATCACCACAACCATCACCACCACCATCACCACCACCATCATCACCACCATCACCACCACCATCACCACCATCATCACCATCGCCACCATCACCACAACCATCACCACCACCATCACCACCACCATCATCACCACCATCACCACCATCACCACCACAACCATCACCACCACAACCACCATCACCACCATCACCACTATCACCACCATCACCATCACTAACACAGCAACCATCACCAACACCATCACCACCATCACCACCATCACCACTAACACAGCTACCATCACCACCACCATCACAGCCAACATCACCCCCATCACAGCCAACATCACCACCATCACAGCCATCACCACCATCACCACCACCATCACCACCACCATCACCACCATCACCACCATCACAACCATCACCACCATCATCAACACCATCACCACCATCACCACCACCACCACCATCACCACCAACACAGCCACCATCACCACCATCACCACCACCATCACCACCAACACAGCTACCATCATCATCACCACCATCACCACTAACACAGCTACCATCACCACCATCATCACCACCATCACCACCAACACAGCTACCATCATCATCACCACCATCACCACCAACACAGCTACCATCATCATCACCACCATCACCACCAACACAGCTACCATCATCATCACCACCATCACCACCAACACAGCTACCATCATCATCACCACCATCACCACCAACACAGCTACCATCATCATCACCACCATCACCACCAACACAGCTACCATCATCATCACCACCATCACCACTAACACAGCTACCATCATCATCACCACCATCACCACTAACACAGCTACCATCACAGCCATCACCACCACCATCACCACCACCACCATCACCACCACCATCACCACCATCACCACCACCATCACCACCACCATCACCACCACCACCACCATCACCATCACCACCATCACCACCATCACCACCACCACCATCATCACCATCACCACCATCACCACCATCACCATCACCACCACCATCACCACCACCACCATCACCACCACCATCACCACCACCACCATCACCATCATCACCATCACCACCATCACCACCATCACCACCACCACCATCATCACCATCACCACCATCACCACCACCATCACCACCACCACCATCACCACCACCATCACCACCACCACCATCACCATCACCACCATCATCACCACCATCACCACCATCACCACCACCATCATCACCATCACCACCATCATCACCATCACCACCACCATCACCACCACCACCATCACCACCATCACCATCACCACCATCACCACCATCACCACCATCACCATCATCACCATCACCACCATCACCACCACCATCACCACCATCACCACTAACACATCTCCCACAATCTAACACACACACACACACGCAAGTTCCTTTCCACATCGAGATCATGAACGATCAAGGCGGATTAGGGTTGTTGACGTTTTAAATTTTGCGGCTGATTTCCGTTAGAAAGCGCGACTCGGGGTGGCCAGCCCAGCCCAGCCCAGTCAGTGAACCCAGCCCAGGCCAGCCCAGCCCAGTCAGTGAGCCCAGCCCAGTCAGTGAACCCAGCCCAGTCAGTGAACCCAGCCCCAGTCAGTGAACCCAGCCCAGTCAGTGAACCCAGCCCAGCCCAGTCAGTGAACCCAGCCCAGCCCAGTCAGTGAACCCAGCCCAGCCCAGTCAGTGAACCCAGCCCAGTCAGTGAACCCAGCCCAGCCCAGTCAGTGAGTGAACCCAGCCCAGTCAGTGAACCCAGCCCAGTCAGTGAACCCAGCCCAGTCAGTGAACCCAGCCCAGCCCAGTCAGTGAACCCAGCCCAGCCCAGTCAGTGAGCCCAGCCCAGTCAGTGAACCCAGCCCAGCCCAGTCAGTGAACCCAGCCCAGTCAGTGAACCCAGCCCAGCCCAGTCAGTGAACCCAGCCCAGCCCAGTCAGTGAGTGAACCCAGCCCAGTCAGTGAACCCAGCCCAGTCAGTGAACCCAGCCCAGCCCAGTCAGTGAACCCAGCCCAGCCCAGTCAGTGAACCCAGCCCAGTCAGTGAGTGAACCCAGCCCAGTCAGTGAACCCAGCCTAGCCCAGTCAGTCAGTGAACCCAGCCCAGTCAGTGAACCCAGCCCAGCCCAGTCAGTGAGTGAACCCAGCCCAGTCAGTGAGCCCAGCCCAGCCCAGTCAGTCAGTGAACCCAGCCCAGTCAGTCAGTGAACCCAGCCCAGTCAGTCAGTGAACCCAGCCCAGTCAGTGAACCCAGTCAGTCAGTGAACCCAGCTCAGTCAGTCAGTGAACCCAGCCCAGCCCAATCAGTGACACCAGCCCAGTCAGTCAATGAACCCAGCCCAGCCCAGCCCAGCCCAGTCAGTGAACCCAGCCCAGTCAGTCAGTCAGTGAACCCAGCCAATCCACTCCAGCCAGCAGCATCACCATCATCAGCAGCAGCATCATCAGCATCATCATCATCATCATCAGCAGCAGCAGCATCATCAGCAGCAACAACATCAGCAGCAGCATCAGCAGCAACATAATCATCATCAGCAGCATCATCATCATCAGCAGCAGCAGCATCATCAGCAGCAACAACATCAGCAGCAGCAGCAACATAATCATCATCAGCAGCAACATCATCATCAGCAGCAGCAGCATCATCATCAGCAGCAGCAACATCATCATCAGCAGCAGCATCATCATC